TATTTGCTCTGACAAAGGGCTAACGCTCGAAACGTCAGCTTTTGTAATCATTACAGTGGCCAATTTACCATTTCAACTTTGTTGATATATCCAAATTATTATATCACGACAATGTCACCCTCAACCTCACTCCAAATCAAAGGCTCGGCAACTAAGTACACAGCTGTAAAATGGCCCATTGAAGAAGACCTTGATTGTTACACAATCTCCTGTCTGCACCTTGGGAAATGTATAGAGAACAGTAGGGAGAATATGCAAACTGATATGAAGGTGTAAAGGGTTCATTCTTCCATCACTCATGAGGCTGACCTCTCCAGATACAATGTCAGTGTTTCATAAGATATTTCAAGGGTTAATTAACTACTTTGCTTGACATGTTTCTGCTAATATTTGAGGCAGCTGTTGCAATAATGACTAACAGCAGCATTTAAAACATGGCAAATTTGGTTTGGAACCTCAGAGTTTGCATGCTACTGAAATGAAAACACCCTAATTACAAGGTAGTTGTAAAAACAAAGACCCCGAAAACAAAGACCTAAGACCCTCTAAGAAAACAAAGACCCCCTACGAAAACAAAGACCGATTATGAAAATGAAGACTCATTAAAACCACAGGGAGTAATGGTATTTTAGTAATGTGTCTTCATGTTCGTGATCGCTCTTTATTTTCTAGGGGGTCTTCGTTTTCATAATGGGTCTTCATTTTCGTAATGGGTCTTCGTTTTCGTAATGGGTCTTCATTTTCATAGGGGGTCTTGGTTTTCCTAATGGGTCTTTGTTTTGGTAGGGGGTCTTGGGTCTTCCTTTTTGGGGTCTTGGTTTTCGTAACTATGCCTTTTCACAACATTACTCCCTGTGGTTTTCACCGGCAAAGAATTCAGGTGTCTTGTTTCTGTATTGCTTTATTGTTTTTATTGTTTTCATAATGGGTCTTTGTTTTCATGATGGGTCTTTGTTTTTGTAATGGGTCTTTGTTTTCGTAATGGGTCTTTGTTTTCTTAATGGGTCTTTGTTTTCGTAATGGGTCTTTGTTTTCGTAATGGGTCTTTGTTTTCGTAATGGGTCTTCGTTTTCATAATGGGTCTTCGTTTTCATAATGGGTCTTCGTTTTCATAACTACCTAATTACAACTCACTAAGTTAACATACCTCCATCAAAAACATCTGTTGGGACATGTATTACACTCCTGTTGAAGCTGATCTCACTTTCAAAGGTAGAGTTGTACTCCAGTGTAATGCCAGTCTTGTTTAAATATTTATCTAGATGCTTGGAATTTGGATAGTCTATTTCACTAAGCTTAAAACAAACAAAAAATAAAATTTCACCCTTGAATCTCTAAGTGCAACTTAAAGCATTTTTCCACACTGCAGTATCTGTGACTTCTGAATCAAATATCAATGTCACAAGGATTAAGGAAATCATGATCTCCCACAGAAAAAGCTCTAGGATTGTTAAACAAATTCTCCTCACCAGAGCAATGGGTAATGTCTACAGAAGAGTAATATAGATACTGATTTTAGGTTGTAGTCTTAACATTATTGTTGCTTGCAGTTATCTTTTCCTGTTGTTGCTGTTGTCTTTTCATCATTGCTGTTGTTGTTTTTTTTTGGGGGGGGGGGTCTTAAAAATGAATGTAATTTTAAACTTTTGAGTGGTCAACTCAGGAATAGACAGCCTTGATGGAAAGATAACAAGTACAGTGGTTTTGCATGGCAGCCATGTTGCATGGCAGGAACAATGAAAATATTTTGCATAAGAAAGAAAATTTTTTTCCATGGGAAAAATAATCTATTGATCCTGCCATGCAACATGGTTGCTGTACAAAACCTCTCTTGAGAAAACTATCCACTGTAGGCAGGATGTTTATTGATAAAACTCCTAATTCTCTTTCTTAACATACAAGAAGCGTATGGCATGAAGAAGGGAGAATCACTAGTCAGATCATGAAGTTTGAGCTACTCGGGGACAGCCATTAACTCACTGGTACATTAAAATCATACCTTCAAATTTTTATTATAATTGTACTTGCAATAAGCTTCTTCTGCCTGTCCCACCAATTTCTACAAAATAACCCAAAAATATATGACAACCCTCAATCACATTATTCAACAATTCACATGATCAGAATTAAGCAAATAGTCCATTTTACAGTTGTGTGCTTGGTTGCCAAGCCTTTGAACGGGAGTGAGGCTAGGGGTGACCTTGTTATGATACAAACCTTGCTGCCTTTCAAATGTAAATCACTTTGTTATCATGCTAACTGGATACAGGTCTCTATCACAACAAGGTCACCTTCAGCCTCACTCTGAATCAAAGGCTTGGCAACAAACTACACAAATGTAAAATGACCTATTAAAAGAAAGCTAGAGCAACCAGGGCTTGAACAAGCTACAATCCCCCCACATCTCTCCACAAAAAAAATAGAGATTCAGGTTATTTTGTAAGGTTTCAAAGTTAAAAATTTTCCCAATTGAGTTCAGTTTGTATATAAGAATACCTAAATTCTTACTCACGATTACCTAAATTCTACAATAATTCATAACAACTTGTTCTGTAAATTGAAATTTTGTCGTCTATGAAAGTCAATCAACCAAACCATCACTTAAATAGACAAATAATTGGCTAGTCTATCATCATTCATTCATTATTTAGCTAATTTGTTTATTTATTCATTTCTTCACCCATACATTCAATTATTTATTCAAACAAGTCATAATTCTTAATATGCGTCCAGCTGCAGGTTTACCATCAGCCACTTCAACTAAACTCATCTTTTTACCTTCCACCTGTACAATTTAATTTTTTGGTTTTTTACTGACAGCACTCCAAGCTTTTTGTCTATCTGAAGATAAAAAATTCTTGCAAAGTAATTCCTTTTAGCACACTGATCATAACTCATTAATGTTCAAAGTTGACAAAAAAAGAAATTTACATTTTCAGGCATAATGTAACTTCATGAATTTCTAATTTTGTGTAATAGCATCCTTATCACCAGAAAACCTACAATGAGATGGCTGAGCAAACATCATTTTTCAAATTTATAGTTTAAGAACTTGTTCCATGCTGGGTGGGTTGTTAATGAACCAGAAACACATCTTTAGATCCAAAAATTCTCTACCATTTTTCTTTCTTTCCATGGGCTAATACATTTGTTGATGTAAAGTTGCGAATTTTATTAGGTCGATCAAGATTTATGTGATCTATTTTCTCGAAAGCTGAATTCGATATCACGACAGATTTTCGAAATACTCTGGAGAAGACACTGTAATTCAATAATTTATATACTGCTGCGCTTCCAGAGCAGAAAGAGTTTGAAATGTTTGCCCTTAGGGTAGCATAGACCAGACTTAGTTTAATTTCAATAAGAAAACTTTGACAGAAATTCAAATACACCGATCAGGAAAGAATAGCAGATACTGAAGCCAAAAAATAAAAGATTCTACCCAGTACGCTGGGTGAAAAATCAACAAAATTTTCAAAACACCGTGCAAATTATCTGAGTCAAGCTTCCAAAAAGAAAATTAAAAAGAAAAAACAATATGTACATTTAAATACGCTGGAAAATTATAGCAGTTGGTAGAATTTTACAAACAAAATTGTTATACAAATTCGTCGATTGTTTTCTTCGCAAATTGCTCATGTAGATACAAAAGAAAAGCACGATAGTCAACATAGGAAAAATTTTCCAGCTGCCGTGGACAATTAACTGGCCGCACGCTTTCTGAAAATAATAAAAGCTCGCTGGATGTTTCATAAATATTAGATCAGATCCAAATCACTAACATAGATTTCTAGGTTATTAAACCCGGCATGAATTTTGCCAAGAAAAAAGATAGCACGCCTGAAAATTTACGAACGCACTTGTCATTGTATGCATGCACTTGTCAAAATCGTTTCCTGATCTCTGCTTCTGGCGAAACGGCTGTCAATTTACGGGATGTAAACACTACGCGTTGGATTTAATTTGCAATGGATTTTCTTTAAAAAAAAATCTGTACTGACCACACCAAGATCTTAGTTCATACCTTCAAAGAAGACGATTTACGAATGAAGAAAACCTCCATCTCTTTCTTCATTTTCTCGAGGACATAGTCTCCATTTATCTCTTCTGTCGTCGCGTTCGTTAAGTTTTCGTAAGCCTGAAAATTCAACAAACTATGAATATAATACTAATAGTCCCTGATCACCACAAACAGTGAGATAAAACGATGAAATTTGAGTCTCTCCAAAATACCTGTTTTAAAATTTTTACTCCGGCGATTTTGTCCATAGTTTTTGACCCGTTACTTCCAGTGCGATTTGCCCACTGATGTACCCTGGCGTGTCAAAAATTTTGAAAACAATTTGCGGCAAGTTGAGATCTTTGAGGTATACTAAACCACAGACGGATAGAAAAATAAGAATATGGACTACAAAACAAGTCTGAGCCACTTACTTATCCTTCGTCAGCTTTAATCCGCTAACCATAACGCTACAGAGTAGCATTAGGACGTAAACTGAACAAAACAAGACGAGGAACTTTTCCGCCATCTTAGCTCAGTGAATGACCACAAGGTGTCAGCATCGAAGGCTCAACTTCGCGCCTGAAAGCTCTCTCCATCAACTCACTACTTCAACTGATTAAGACTGATTTAGCCACCATCGTTTTTCACCTAACAACAGGTAAAGGAGGGTAATAAATCAACGGAGTACAAAATATCGATCGGCTAAAACCAGATATCGCACTGATCGAAATTAAAAATTACGCCTTAGAGTCGATAATTTTACTGACAGAAAAAACTTTTGTTCCTTCGAACAATACATTTCCTCAAGCTTGTGAAAAGATTAATCCATTAAAACAATCATATAAATTTGCAAGAGTAGCTACAAATTCTCAAATTTCAAATTTCAAATCTCGCCACTGATTTTGACGGTAAACAACAGCGCAAAAATACCCCACCAGGTTAATATCCGTAACATTTGTTTTTCAGGTGAAGAAAAAAAGTAATTCCCGCCGACAAATTATAAAAATTCGTAACTACCTGCTTCAACAAAGAGATCTCTGGGCATTTCACGCGCTTAACAAAGCAGATAGTTAGCGTTGAGAACTGAAATACACTCAAACCAACAGCTGTATGTGCATGTTAAAGAACAGAACTAGGTTATCTTGTGACGACAGCCTTCGTGTTCGTGACAGACCAAAGAACGGACCTTGACAGACGGACTCCGCGATGTCTCGGATGATCGGATGAATAATTGATGTCTGTTACCCAAATATCGGCGAAACTTAAAGTTATTTATTCTATTTTCTTAGCAAATGATACCAAAGACGTGAAAACAAGAAATTCATGAAAATCGAGCATTTTCAAACCGGCGGGTTTTACTCTAATTTTGATGTTTTTCTATTTTACTTTTTTATGGATAATATTTGACAGCTTTCCAGTTTCCATTTAATTTAACATTATGCCTCTTATCTGATGAATTCTGGGGAGTAAAGAAAAACTGTTAAATGCTAATTCAATTCAAGAATAAAGATGGAGCCAGCTGGGTAAATACGCGTATGCAATACAGACTGTGTGATACTGGCTGTTGATTTACGATCAGATCCCTTGTGGCTTTTTTGTGCCAGTCACCTCACTAAGATGACTTCATTTCCCAGCAACTTTTTTTGTGCCGAGTGCGATTCAAATTTGGCACATTTCGGACAGTGACGCAAAAATGCCAAGTTAAACTAACAGTCACTCTAGTTAAAATCAAATTAAACGTAAAACAACAAGTTAAAACACAACACCAAGCGAGTTTATTGAGGTGATTAAAAGCTCCCGCTAAGTGACTTATGGAAATGTGCAGTGCTGTAGCCATAGCGACGTTCTGACCCAAAATATTGACCCCTTCCATGCATCAAAAAGAATTGAGTGAATGCGCAGTGAAAACGAGCTACGAAGTACACCGCTGTTACTTTTAGCTCCATCTAACGCATGTTCTGACTGAATTTTTTTCGTTTTCATTTTTTCCACACGAAAATCGACTATTCGTAAAGAAAAAGAAAGGCTTCTTTCAAGCAGATACCGGCTGCCGATTACAGCGACACTCGAAATTTGAGCGCAGGGAAGTTGTGAAAATTTTAATTTGTTAAAAGCACCTGCGTGGAAAAGTTGTGTTCATAAACCTTTAGCTTGTCTTGAATGATATGCTTTGTGAGTGTGGCAATCGTGTTACAAAATAATTGTTTCCTTTTTTTCAGTTACAATATTAGTGCTATCTTTTATTTTTTTATTTTTTTTTTCTTTTTTTTTTCTTTTTTTTTGTAGTGGGGCGTAAAACTCCAAAATGTACCTTATTAACCAGGTTAAGGAAAAAGAGTCTCCTTATTTTCTCTTGACTAGGTCGATGGACCGCCCTACAGTAATTTTGAAGTTGAAAATTTGTGACAAATGTATTCAACATTTTCGTCTTCAATTCCGCAGAGCAAATTATTTAAAAACATCAGCTTGGACACATTTTATTCATGGCGCGGACTGAGGCCGGAAGTTGAAAGAATTTTTATTTTTCGTCTACCACGTATAGACCTTGTCGTTAACGTTTATGCTAAAACATGCACTTTCCATATTACTTATGGTTGAAGTCTATCTAACTCTAAAGCCGTCCCTCGCTTTCACCCCGAGAAAACCGGATGTTCATAATAAAGGCTGAGAGCTACCTTTCTTAAAATAGGTTGAGTCAAGCGAAAATTAGGAGATTAATAAGTCTGGCTTGGGCGCTAACTAGGCGTTGAAAATGATGTTCAAAGTAAATTTCAACAGACGAGAGCATCAAACGTCAGACCATCCTTGATTTTGATTTCCTGAACAGAGTTAATGTCAGCATTTCAACTTAAGCCTTAGCGAGCTCTTAATTTATTGGTTTCTTGAGGCAAAAAATAAATTGATTAAAGTTTTAATAATAGTAGCTCATCGTACACTCTAGAAGCAACCAAAATATTGCTAAGTTTATTTCAGTTTTTACACTAAGCCAGGCCTACTTCCCAAACGTTTTAAGAACGTGTTGGATCCGATGTAAGCCAAACTAGGTGGTAACTTTTAACGTAACAACTCGCATGGAGGATCACTAAAAACCTCCAGCTCTCTTTTACATTCGGTTTACTTTTAATTTTGTACATATGGAGTCTAGAAGATTGGTTTCTTTTTTTGGCAAGGCAGTAAAATGACTCTACTGATTCCAGTTTGAATGAAAGAACTAAAAGAGAAACAGTAAGATTTGTATTACCTGGTGAGTTATGTCTCGGTTTTCCGTTGAGTGTTTTTATGCTCCGGTCGCGCTTAGCACCAACACAATAAATATTTTATTCGTGCACATTAATAAAACCCCGACTGTCAGAAGTAAAATAAAGCATAAATTTGCTAGATTAAGCCGCACTACCCCACTGTGACTCTTAAGGAAGTACTGCTGAATGCAATAAGTGCAGGCGCAATTCGCCCATCCAATGAATGGTCCCTTTGCACCTGCATTCATCCTTCGACGACGAGGAGAGAGAGAGATTGGGCTCAAATATTTTTTTTCACAAATATTATTCAATGGTAATGAAGCAAATTTAAAAAATTACGATCGAGTTGGCGCTGAGTCAACTTGGAGCCTGTCAGTTCATTACTGTTTAGGAAACAGATGAGATAAAACTTCCTCCGAAATCGGACAAATTGCGAAAACCATCGGAAACAGACGGAAGTATCCGAAGTCGGACGATCGACTCTGCGAATCTGCTTTAACATCTTGAGAGTGAGACTGTTCAAAAATTGGAACAAACTCAATATTAGCGGAGCGGGAGTCACATGGCAAAAAATGCCAAGAAAAAACTTGAGAGCGATGAATGAAAACAGACTATGGAAGGCACCATTGTTGAGTGAACTGGGAGTGAACAGACGGGAAATGAAAATCCCTCTAAAATGTGAAATGTCGTTGATCACAAAAGAAAAGTGACTTGGTCATAAAAATACCGTTCTTGCTCAAAGCAAATACCATTGTTTTAATTACATAACAAAACTCGGTATTTTAGTATTTGTACAATAAGAGACAAGTATTCATGTGAGACAATCACTTGCAAGTAAACTCATCTCGGAGAAAATCTACTTAAACTTCTGCCAAACTAAAAAAAACTAAAGCTAAAATCATGATTAAACAAATTATCACTAAGCAAAAGATACTTGAATTACATCTTCGTAATGTCAGTACAATGAAAAAAAATAGTGACACACTTCTCGTGTAGCGTACAACCACCATGTTGATTTTGTAGTTGCCGGTCGGTGGGACGTGTCATACTATGTTTTAAGTCTGTAATTGCTACCTGATCTCAGAGCCTGATCTGGAGTCTTATTTTCGAGGTAACACGGATCAGCAGTTTATCCCTTATGTCCAAAGATTTTTTCCCTAATTCTCTTTTCCGGCCTTAAAAATTAGCTAGGAGAGTTTGGTGATGTGTCACCCTTAAGCTTGTCAGTTTGTCTATTCCTACAAGTTGCTGTGGTCACAGTAGCACAGAAACTAAGGCATTTGCTCGGAATTCATTTTCATTATATAATAGAAATCTTTATGCAGCGTGCGTTAAAAATAAGAACTACGGATTTAAATTCCTAAGTAGTCTAACATTGCAATAAAAAGGTTTAATGAGTGGGTTTACTGTACTAGTAGTCTTTCTAATTAGAAATCCAATAAGTTCAAGTTGACGATCAAATGAAAGTCACAACACGTCAAAGAATTCACCATTATTCTAAATAACTATATTAAATGCTAGTACAACAAAGAACTGTATTCCGCATGCCATAAGGTTCAGGTATACCCTGCAACAGAATGATACCACTTTAAGAATCATTATCAGTTTAACAAATAGATTTCGTGTAGCCGTGGGTCTGCATGTAGAGCAATAGATGACATATAACGTCAAAATATGGTGGGAATTAAAAAAAAAGTGGCACACTGGGCGCAGCATAGTGTGGTCACTAATGTTCTGACCACAATTGGACTTTTTCTGCGAGGCTATTATTGGACAGACCCACCGCCACAGGGAATCCTTTTGCTTTTGTGTGATAGGAAAGCATAATGTTTTAATGGTGACTTCAACTATGTATCCGTCCTCCAATAAACCATAAGTGACAACCAATTAAAATGCATGTATAATTCAACTTGTCATGTAGATAAATATTCATATGCTTCAATTGAAAGCCAACCACAAAAGCAACAACAACGCTAAGAGAATGTTACCCGTTTAGTTTGACATGGTGATGTAGTTTAACACCAGCAAAGTGTATTAAAAATCAGTTTGACTTTTGCATAAGTTTAAATGACATCAATAAAGTTGTGCTATGCATCGTAAACGTTTACTGACATCTCTTGTCAGTTGAAGTACTCAGACATCATAAGTTTTTATGTGCCATGAATTCCAGTTAAGGTAAAAATAAAATCATATATTTTTCCTAATTAGTGGAGTATGCTTTTTAAACGTCGATCCATTTTAAATTCAAACCAGGCAGGTTTTCTTTCCAAGGACATGGAAAATAAAAACGTAACTTACTTGGATAAGTTTCGCAGATGTAATTACCGGGGTATGTACATGCCAAGTCGTTCCATGTTACATACATTTCTGCACAATCTTCTGCTGTTCCCAACCAGTTATTAGGTTCGCCAGCTCTCCAGGCCGTAAAGGTTGCACGGGATCCATCCACCCAAAGCCAAAGGGACTTATTCGCGGGATCCCTGTACAAACCAATCCAGTATGTAGTCCGAACTGTCTTTGGGACAAGTGCTTGATATTCAGCTTGGGAATTGATGGACACCAGATTGGATCCTAGTCTTTGACAGGCAGCTTTGGCCGAGTGCCAATTGAGTCGCGTAGAGGAGAACATGTAGCAGGAACCTTGTAGGTTGATCCAGTTGTTTGGACATGTCGCTGGCACAGGAGGATACAACACGTTCACTGCGAAAAAATATGATGGAATTGTCTCCACTGATTAATGGGCTAGGATATCATTATAATATTTATGTGTCTGCTTATTTAGAGTTGATCGTTGTTTCTTCCAAACATCTTATACCTTAACGTTTTACCATGGACCCAAAACTTTCTTACTTCTTTCTTTGAATGATAATAATGATGATTTTGATAATGCTAATAGTAATAATAATGATGATAATAATAATAATGATAATGATGATGACGGTGTTGATGATGGTAATAGTAAAAGTAATAGCAATAGTAATAATAATAATGATAGTAATGACAATAAAAGTAGTGATGATGACAATGGATAAAACAGAAGCTACAGTATAAAAAAAAAAAACCAGAATCTTCACTTACTTGGTTTAGTTTCGCAGATGTAATAACCCGGGTATCTGCATGCCAAGTCATTCCATGTTACATACATTTCTGCACAATCTTCTGCTGTTCCCAACCAGTTATTGGGTTCGCCAGCTCTCCAAGCTGTGAAGGTTGCACGGGATCCATCCACCCACATCCAACGGGACTTTTGCTGAGGATCCCTGTACAAACCAATCCAGTATGTAGTCCGAACTGTCTTTGGGACAAGTGCTTGATATTCAGCTTGTGAAT